AACGGGGGAGGGGCAGAGAGAGAGGGAGACACAGAATCGGAAACAGGCTCCAGGCTCCGAGCCATCAGCCCAGAGCCTGACGCGGGGCTGAAGTCGGACGCTTAACCGACTGCGCCACCCAGGCGCCCCTGTTTTCCATTTCTTAAAATGCTTATCGTTTCTATCTACCCTCATAGAATGGTGTGTCCTTTGAAGATAGGAATGTGACTCAACATTTACTATTTTCTCATCCTGTGGTGTGTGATATGCACGTTCAACCTCGTTTAAAAGCGGTTGTAACCTAGATTTTTAAAAATTATTTTCGTGTCTAACAGCTTCGATCTAATAGTTTAAATGATATCACATTCAACAAACTCGTGACCTTCGTTCCCCATTCTTTTGTGAAATACCCCTGAATGTTGCCTTATGTGTTATTACAAAATTCAAACAGCTGTGGAGGAAAGAGAAAGAACACAGGTGTTGGGGTCCAAAATCCCAAATTTCAGTCCAGGCTTTGCCTTTTACTACAAACTTTGTCCAAACCTTAGAGCTGCTCTGACGTCTTCTTTTACTGTTAGCTAGAAAAATAAAAGCTGTGCCTTAAAGTTATGTCATTTTATCAAAATTATATGTGTGAACATGTTTGATTAAATTACTCGTGGAAACAGAGGCAGTAGCAGCAGGATAATTAGACCAGGATCTAGGAGAGTGCTTTTATAAGTTTAGCTGGAGAAGATGTTCTTTAACAGGAGGGCATAAAAGCATTTTAAGTCAAGCAGTAAACTTTATAAAAGGAAGTAATATAATACACCCTGGATGTATCTTATAATATAAACTGGAATATTTATAGTCACATTCAATTATATCAAACAGCTTAAAAAGGATGTGGGCACGAGGGTCCCTACAAATTATAAATTCTAAAAATCAAGTACTTTTCGTTCTTCCTTTAAGAGGGCATCGCCATTTAGTAAAAGAAAATAGATCGGTGTCTTATTTAGTGATAAATAAGCAAGAGAAAGCTAAGGATAAAATTGAAAAAAAAATCTCTAAACTAAGACTGGAAATGTCTTTTCTCCTCCAATGGGTCAGACCTATTCCACATCCTATGTCAATTGTGGTTCAAAACTCAGTAACGTGCAACTCCTAAAAAGAGTCATCTACGCTTGCAATGAAGCTTCCTTTCTTAAACTAAAACCGAATCTTGAAGGCGGTGCTCATGTTTCAAGTCTGGCAGTTTTGCATACAAAAGTACCAGTGTACTTTTCAAGATCATAGCTTCCACACATCCAAGCGACTGAAATCCTCAGCGTTCTTTTACTTAACCTACACATTGCTTCAAACGCTGTCGTTTATAAAGCAGTAATGAAAATAACAAGTCTATAAACCTGTGCTAAACGGCAGGAGTTTGGAGCTCCCAGGACTTCAGACCTGTAGTTGACGCAGTGATTTATATCTAATGGAATTAAGGAAATGGTATAAAATGGAGGAGAAAAAGAACACTCAAGAAGGGTGTGTGTGTGTGTGTGTGTGTGTGTGTGTGTGTGATGTGTTATCATAGAAAGAAATACTGTGATGAATCACAAGATTCAGAAGAAAGACGCTTGGAGATCTCTGGCCGGAAAACCACTTGACTGAGGCAAAAAAAAAAAAAAAAAAAAAAATCATGTGGTATCCGTAAATATGCTAAAACCCAAGAGCAGTACAGGGCAAAGGAAAACACTCAGGGAGTGGCAGATTTTCTATAGACATCTTCAGCTTGGAAGTGGGTTAAGGTATTTATTTTGAATCTGCCAGCAGTTTTGAGTTAGGTTACACATTTTGGGAGGCTGTTTGGAGGTGAGAGCCTAGTGGAGATTTTTGGGAAGAGGTCACATTACCCCAGAATTAAAGGATCTTCTGCATTTTTTAATTTTAATTTACTTATATTTGACTTTTTAACTTTTTTTGTAATTTTTTTTTTTTTTTGAGCGGGGTGGGGAGAGGCAGAGAGAGCAGGGGATGGAAGATGTGAAGCCAGCTCTGTGTTGACAGCAGTGAGCCCGATTCCAGGCTCAAACTCAGGAACCGTGAGATCATGACCTGAGCCGAAGTCAGATGTCCCACTTGACTGAACCACCCGGGGACCGCCCTTTTTCTGTATTTTAAGGGACTGAAGACAGATGTACTAGCTGATTTCATGCATTTTAATTAGTTATTTGGTTTTTGGGCTTCGAGGCCAATACCCTAGCTCCTTATGCTCCTGAGAGCAGAGGCAGGACTCAAAGCCTCTAAAGTTCTACTCTCCCAATTCCCAAGTCCATTTATGAAATGTCTTGACTTCCAGTCGCACAGGGACGGCGCCTGAATGACAACAGTAAACCCAAAGAACCGTTTGTTGATTTGTTTTCTTTGCACAGAGTTGGCCACTCTTTTAATATTGAGTCTCAGTCTTATTTTTTTAGCTTTTTGTGCCTGAAGAAACTAACATGGTTATTAATCTACTGCGTAGGGACTTTTTGTTCCGGGAAGATAATATTTTATTACTATTATTATTCACCTCTGTTGAGACACCTACAGGATTAACATGACTTTGAACTCTTCCTCTGTTAAAGTTATAGGATTCAGGTAAAATATGGTACTCTGGTTCTTTGAAGTGGTCTCCTAAGGTTTGGGAAAATCTCCCTATCCATAGGACCCTCATCAAGGTTTTCCAAGTATTCCCTTACTGGATCTTACCACGGGAGCAGGCTCAGCTCCTGACCAGTATTTTGAGAGCAATATTAAAATCCCAACTTGACCTGGAATAAAAAAAAAAAAACTGGAAAGCCCACTTCCTCACATTTGACTTTTGATGTTTTGACAGACAAGCTGAGATTCCTGGGTTGAACATCCAGCCGAAGCCATTCTACCATTCATCATTTTGAGGTTTCGAATTGAGGGCAAAATGCCATATAACCTACTTGCACATGATTTACTAAAAACCACACAATTAAAGGCAAAACTGTTCTTGCTCGGGAGGTTTTTATCCCTTTCCTGAAATACTGTGACATGTGCAAAGATCCTGCCTGGCAAAATGTCCTAGATTTTAGTCCTGGCTGTGACATTTATGTTGCCGGGCAAGTCAACTTTCTGAATCTCACTAATTTCCCTCACCTGTGAAATTCCTGACCTGATTACCTCAAGATTTCTCTAAGGAGCAAATAGAATTATGTTGACAACATGTTGAAGACTCCAACGTGTGATATTAATGTAAGATACTATTATTCCTTTCAGTGTTTTAAATTAAAATCTAAAAATAGATTGTATTTCCATGAAATATTCCAATAATCGTTTGTTAGAAGATAAAAGCAAAACCTTTGAGATTTAAAATTTAGAAAGAAGACAAGGAAAAGACCCTACCCTTCTCTAAAGAAGTTCCTTTTTATTTTTTTAAAGTTTATTCATTTTTTTAATAATTTTTTAAAATTTTTCTAATGTTCATTTATGTATTTATTTTTTATTTTTTATTTTTTTTTTTTTGTGAGACAGAGAGAGAGATGGACAGAGCATGAACAAAGGAGGGGCAGAGAGAGAGGGAGACACAGAATCTGAAGCAGGCTCCAGGCTCTGAACTGTCAGCACAGAGCCCGAATCGGGGCTCAAACTCACAGAGTGCAAGGCCATGACCTGAGCTGAAGTCAGACACTTAA